GACAACAACAAAAACACAACCTCGAACTGCCGAATGTGTAAAATTTCAGAGTAGAAACTCTGACGAATATCTTCTGGTACAATAGGCCTATTTTCATACTTTAACATTTTGGTTAACTTGGCTCCGAGCCTTAGAGGAATAATTATGAAAAAAGCTAGTACCTCGCTGGAAACCTGGACTGTTTCTTTCGTATCTAAACGCGGCATTATCATCTTACTAGCTGCATTGTGTCCCGTTGTCCAATGTTTAATAATTCAATGTTGGTCTCGGTGGCAACATCTACCACACTAGTAAGTGGCTGAGACCCCGCCTGGTCAACTCCTAAAAGCTAACAAAAAGATCTCAGAATATTTAGAGAAAGCGCAGATTAACTACGCAAAACACGTTAGTTCACATCTGCAACAACATGCAAAATAACGCTGACAAAATAACTACAAATATTTGAAACCAGCACTGAACACGTCCAGGGTTCCCTCCTGCAGTCTCTGGCATTGCAAGCGCAGTGCTAACATCCTGCACTAGAATAGCATCTGACTGTGCCCCTACCCTGATTAGGGCGTACCCTCCTACTGGCTCACTCTCTGTTGTCAAGGAAACGGAAACTTTATCTTCCTCGTTGTCTTGCGCAGTAATGTCACAACTGAAAGACCTCTGCCTGCCGTCGGACGAACTCTCTACGATCACGAATTTGAAGACACCGGTTTCGCTCTGAATGGATCCCTGCTTGACATCCCCATTGGTTAAAGAGAACTGGACGTCGCCGCTGCTATGAAGCACCAGTGTGACAAGAGGATTTGAATCTATTGCCGTGCCTGTTGCGTCTTTCACATGCAATGTGATGCTGACACTTCTTTCGCCGTCTTCTCCACCAGTCTTGATGAAGGAAACTTTGCCAACAATTTGTGAAAATTCACGAGCTGACACCTTGTACAGGACTTTTTCAGATACAACTTGACCACCATCTCCCGAAAACATCACACTGTTATGACCAGTTAGCACATCTTTGCAATCCTTGTTAGCGGTGGCTTTCCAGGGGAAACTTTCACTATCACCTTTGCTTCTGTCAGAGCTTGCTGCCAGCGCGTCTTTAAACGCTTTCTCCTGATCCGGTGGAAGGTCATAGTAGATTCTCCTCTTGTCAGAAACATTATACCGTAGTGCAACCAGGTCTCGGACATCTGGATTATCCGTAGTGGAAGACCAGATGGTTATGGTGAATGTCTCTGATAGGTCGAGCAACCAGTGAAACTGTTCCCAAGACCTTTGAACAAGATTAGCACGGACAGGAAAGGTGATAGGCTGAGCGATCTGAGAGACAAGTTGCCCCATAGGAAGCACTTGAGACCAGTTGTAGAAGTTTTCTGGGGCTGTCATATTTTTCCCAGTTGTCCAACTAATTGAAAGAGTTCCATTAGGGAAGTACCTTTTGCAGAGAGACAAGAATCTAGCGTGGTCGACCGGAACGCACACCTTATCGTAGCAGGGACCGGGCAAGATGTCTGCATTGAGCCAAATCGGGGTTTTGACCTCTTGCCCGAACGTGATGTTCTGAACCATCTTCAGGGAAGGTTCCACCACCTCGATGGTCTTGAAGTCCAACTTGATTCCTTTTGTCGAATTCGTTGTTTGTGACAAGAAGCCGTGTAATGTTAAGTTGCTGTCCACGTCTGGGGGATGTGCCATTACAGGAGTTCCATTCACAATGTTGTTCCGCATCAAGACATCTGCCTCTAGCATCATAATGTCTCCTAACAAGCCCTGTTC